CTGTCCTGGAACTCGCTCTGTAGACCAGGCTGTCCTCGAACTCACAGTGATCCTCCTGCCTCTGCCTCCCAAGTGCTGGGACTGAAGGCGTGCGCCGCCGCCGCCGCCGCCACCACCACCACCACCGCCGCTGCCACCTGACAAAATGGCTACTCTTACTGGCACTTGGTTGGTCGCTGTATGGAAGTCTAGGTTAAACAGCTGGTTTCCTCCCCACCCCCACCCCCACCCCCGAACTGCCAGTGTCCTTTCAGCTACCATTCCTGCAGCTTATCAACTGCACCGAGAGTTCTCCAGGCCTCCTGAGTCATGTTCAGCTGTGGGAAGTTTGCTTTCGGTGTTTCTTTAATATTTTACTTACTGCTGTACTCTCTTTCCTATTTCTTGAAATTCTGCATTTATACCCCAATTTTCTTATCTTTTCTGTTGTTATCCATGTTCAATTTTTAGTCTACTAAAACTCTGCCACTTCTTGTAACATTAGTAGATGATGTTTCATTTACCAGCTTAATTTTTTAAAGATTAAAATGTGTGTGTGTTTGTGTGTGTGTGTGCGTGCACGCATGTGTGCACATGAGTGCAGGTGCATGCAGAGGCCAGAAGAGATCTCCTGGATCTGGAGTCATGCGTAGTGGCGGTGAGCCACCTGAAGTGCGTGCCGGAAACTCTGCACGAGCGGTGGGTGAGAGAGAGAGAGAGAGAGAGAGCCCTAACCACCGGGCTGCTTCTCACCAGTGTAACACGTCCTCTCCTGTTTCTAGTTTCCTGGGTGATTTTATTCAGGCATCAATGTGAGTTGCCTAGATTTTTTTCATCTTTTTATCTATTAATTAGTTGGGTTCCATTTATTGATGTGCTATGTCAAGCCATCCTTACATTCCTGGCATAAATTGGTCTGTGAACTATAGTTCACTAATATTTTATCTATTGTGTTTGCATCTATGTTTATGAGTTTAATATTTCCCACAATGAAAATGGTCAGATTTTGAAATCATGGGGTATTGAGAGGGGTTAGAAGGGCCCTGACTGCTATCCTAAGTGGCAGCTGGGAACAGAGGGAAAACCAGGTCCTGAAGCCCTGAGTACGATAGGGGCCCGGAACAAGCTGTGTTTGAAGCCCACGGTGATCTAAGATCAGACAGCCCCAGCGCGACCACGGCAAGCAGTCGCCCCACGGAGTGGGACACGGTAGTAGTTACCAGTGCAAAGGTGACTGGAACATGGCTGGTGCAAACTCACACTATGTGAGCTGTTTTGGGGTGCCCTTCCCATGGTGGAGTACCTGCTAGCTGCCACTGCTTTGGTGAGAGGAGAAGCCAAGCCACAGACTAGGTTTGGAAGGCTCCTGGCAGGCGTGCGTGCCCTCGTCTCTCTCCAGGTTTGACAGCTCTGTCCTGACTGGTTGCCTTCTCCACCCCATTTGCTTGCACAGACCCAGCGGATCCGATCCGGGCACCCTGGCTGTCTATAACGAGCCACATAGGCCTCTGTCAGCAGTCCTCCAATTGCTTATCCTCAGCCATCCTCACTGGAGCAGGAGAAGATGAAGGAGGAGGTAGGGGAGATGGGAAACTGCCTTCAAGACTAGCAGGAAGCTGGGAGTGGTGGTGCACCCCTTTCACCCCAGCACTTGTGAGGCAGAGGTGGACAAATCTGGGGGGGTTCAAGGATAGCCTGGTCTACATAGTAAGTTCCAGGACAGCAGGGCTAGCTAGAGAGACTTTGTCTCAAACAAAGCAAAAAACCCAGCAGGAGACAGCCTTCATATAGACTCGGGCCCTGAGGCTTTTGCCTCAGGTAGGGAACTCACTGAGGCTCCAGCTGCTCTACCCTCCAAGACAGGTCCTGTGGTCAACAGTCAAGGAAACCCGTTCCTGCCTCAGCCTCTGAGCCTCTATGCTCCCACTGCAGAGGAGAATCCATTCTGGCTGCTGTCCCCTGCCCTCTAAGATCTGCCATTTCTGAGGCCTGCTGCTCTGAGCCTGTGACTCTCGTGGAGATCTACGAGACAGTGACATTTCTAATGTGTATCAGCAAACTCTCCGCCCCCCTCCTGCTGCTACCAAGAGTTCAAGTCCTAGGGTTCCATTTAATTGTGGTCTCCCCTGCTTGAATTGTTCATTTCCCATTAATAAAGTTCCCCTTGGTCGCTTGCCCTTAATCTCTGCCCACTTCACTCCTGGGGAGAGCGAGACAAGAAGAGGGTCGGAGAGCAGAGAGCCCTCTCCCTTTCCTTCCTAGAGAGCATTTCATTTAGAAGGGATTACTGTTCCCTTGGAAACCTGATTCAGAACCTTTTGGTCGGTCTGTGCTTGTGTGGAAATGGTGACGTGAGATGGTGAGATGCCGAGTTGTAAGGGTGTGTGTGTGTGTGTGTGTGTGTGTGTGTGTGTGTGTGTGTGTGTGACTATTAGCTCAATTATTGAATTTTAATGTAACTCACGATTGTTTTTCTTGAGTACATTTCAGTAATTCCTAGGAACTAGACCGCTGTGTCTAAGTTTTAAATACATTGACAAGAAGTTGACTAAAATATACTCAATATTTTCATATTTGTTGGATAAGTACCTTCCCCCTGACTGGCATTCTCTTCCTCCCTCTCTTCCCCACCAATGTACCTGAAGTTTTGCCAGTCTTCTATATGTAATAAAAAGAATACATATGTCCTCCTCCTGATTGTATAAAATTTGCTCATCAGTGCATCCAAGTCTGTGTTTTCCCCGATTAAGTGAACTTCTGTGTTGTCTATCAATGTTATCTGTTTCCTGTTTTATTTTGAAGCAGGGTCTCATGTAGCCCAGGCTGGCCTCCAACTCATGATCCTCTGCCTCAGCCTCCCAAGTGCTGGGATCACAGACATGTGCTGCCATACCCCTGAAAGTTGGTTCTTTTAAGAATGCCTTTGCTTTTGTCCACTGTTAAAGCCACACCGCCTTTCATGTTATTATTTCCTCCTTGTTCTTCCCTCCACGTGTCTGTGGTTTGTCTTGGAAATACCACACAGATAGGTCTTTGCTTCTTGATTGAAAGTTTTTTCCCTTTAACTTTCAATACATGGTCCATTTTCTTGTATTATCATTGTTCATTTTTTCCAAAGATTTATTTTACTTTTATTTATGTGTGTATGTGCATGCGAGTGTGGTGTCCCTGGACTCCAGAAGAGAGCACTGGATCCTCCTGGAGCTGGAGTTACAGGCAGGTGTGAGTCATCCGGTGTGGGTGGTGGAATCCACACTCTGGTCCTCTGGAAGAGCAGCCAGTATTGTTAAGCACCGAGCCATCTTTCCAGACCTACAGTTGTTCATTTTTAAAAACATCCCATCACCTGTGTCTTGTTTATTTTCTCTGTGTGTTTCTTCTTTTTCCTCTGGTGTCTGCAGACTGACAATTTCTGCTCTCAGTTGGATTCCACACCCCATTGTTTCACACAAGTTCCATCTTCTTACCCATTCTTGTCAGTAGCCCTCGCTCCCCTTGAGCAACACAAAGACTGTGAAGCAAGTTCTCTCCAATGTCCATCCTGTCGGTCATTATTACCATGCACACGGGCTCTGGTGGATGTTTTTTTAGATTTGTTTATTCTATGTTTTTACGTGTCTGAGTGTTTTGCCTGCATGTATTTATGTGCACAGAGAACATGCCTGGTGCCTGCAAAGATCAGAAGAGGGCTTTGGATGCCCTGGGACTGGAGTTACAGATGGTTGCAAGGCATCGTGTGGGTGACTGAACCTGGCTCCTCTGCAAGAACACCAAGTGTTCTTACCTGCCAAGTCAACTCTCTAGCCCTTACTTTGTTTGTTTGTTTTGAGACAAAACACTATGTAGCCCAGGTTGGCCCTGAATTTATAATTCCTCCTGCCTCAGCCTCCTGAGTGCTGGGGTTACAGACCCCTACCTCTAAGACCACCTCTTAGGCCTGCCTTTAAGTTACTGTGGCTCACACATGACTGAGGGGAGTGTCTTCCTTCATGCCATCTAATCAGGAGCTTTGCAGAGAGAGAGGAGAGAGAGCCTTTGTCTCTTCCTGACAGGAAACTTTCCTGGTGACAGGAACCATGTGACTTCTAGCATCGTTCCTGAGCTACAGGACCATGTGCTGAGAGTGTCTGCACCTTCCTCTGCCCTCGGCCCTGCCTCGTGCCTGGCAGACAAGCTGCTTCCTGCCCAGACAAGTGTGTGTTGACTCCGCCAGTGCCAGACCTCATTGTCAGCTGGTTCCAGCTGCCGGTTTGTCTCACTCTTCACACTCAAAACAAGCGGCTGTTGGTCTGTTCAGCACGGCCCCATTCCCTCTTGTGGTCTGCTGGCTGAGTCTGAGACCATCTCTGCAGGCACATTTTCTTTCCTGGCTTTGTAGACTCTTGTTTCTTTCTTTCTTTTTGGAGACAGGGTCTCATGTCACCCAAGCTGGTCTTGAACTCCTTTCAAGACAGGGTTTCTCTGTGTAGCTTTGTGCCTTTCCTGGAACTCGCTCTGTAGACCAGGCTGGCCTGGAACTCACAGAGATCCACCTGCCTCTGCCTCCAGAGTGCTGGGATTAAAGGCGTGCGCACCACCACCGCCCGGCGAACTCCTTATCTTGCTGCCTCAACCTCCTCCACTAAGAACACAGGCAGATTCACCATAGCTGTCTTCAGAGACTGGTGACTCTGCTCTGGCAGTGGGCATAGCATTTCTGAATTCCCCTTGCTGGCCAGGTGCAATTCTACAAGAAAGAACATAGCAGTCATTCTATTTGGAAAGAAAAATGTAAAGATTTTTTTTTTTTTTTCGAGACAGGGTTTTTCTGTGTAGCTTTGTGCCTTTCCTGGAACTCACTTGGTAGCCCAGGCTGGCCTTGAACTCATAGAGATCCACCTGGCTCTGCCTCCTGAGTGCTGGGATTAAAGGCGTGCGCCACCACCGCCC